ATTTATATTGCTTATATATAAATTTAAAAATAAAGGACAATGAATGAGGACAATAAACTGCTTTTATTGTCCTCATTTGTAAGTCGCTTTGGATAAAAGCGTCTGCTAAATGACTAAATGTAAATATATTGTGAGTTTGGGCTCACAATATATAGCATCTTGCATATCAAAAATCAAAACTCTGAAAAACAGAAGCAGAGAAATTAATAGCATCCATAACTGAATATGAATGCCTAATCATCAAGATGTTTTAGTGTAAATGACGTTAAATTCATGATCTAACTTTCAACTAGCGTTTATAATTTGCTATCAAATCATGTCCAGTTACAATTATAAATAAATAAATAATTATTAGAAAAGGCATGCAGCTTGTGTCTCTGGGCTTTTTACAAGAAAAAAAAACACGTGCATATGATATGCATTGTAGATAATACAAGCTACTCTCTGATAAACATTTCACACTGACTCTGACCTGCTAAGTCATTATTGTGAAATAATTACTGTGTTCACTCATTTGCAACTAAGGTCAATAAATTGAAATGTGTTTTGGTGAAATTGATGAGAGGATACATTTTTAATGTTTGTTTAATTGATGGAAAGTTGGCATATCTGTAGCTGAGAGTTCAAGGTAGTTCAGAGTCTGAATATTATTAGAGTTTAACTTTCATAAGGTAAAGGTTTCATTCGTTTTTTTCCCCCCAGTGTGTACTTTGTGTCACTGATTTCCTCTACAGAGACACTGATGCCTTTAATGCTCCCTGACAGCATGACTGTTCTGTAATATCAAAATGTATTATTGAAAATCTGAATTACATCGAAAACAACAGCCAACCAAAGTTAACCCTTTTCAAAAGATTGACCACCTTTGAACACCTAGAGACAAGGCAGTTACACTGAGAAGGAAAAGAAATAGCTCATAATTATTCAAAATCACTGTATATAATTTGTATGTATTGGTGGGTGATCTTGCTGAGAGTTGATGAACAGGTTTTGAGAGAAGGTAATCTGGTTAGGGGTGACCTGGTGGCTCTGCAGTTTTATAGTCAGTACTAGATAATCCACATAGGGCGTGATAATGTTGGTCGCCATCTGCTGCGTTTACTGACACAATAACAAGAGGGCACTGTTATACAGTATTTCAGTGCTTCAGAATTTCTATTGCATCTCAGAGAGAATGCCTTTAACTATGACGTCACAGTCATTTCAAGACTCATAACATACACACATGAGCACTTTCACTATTAAAATTGAGCTTTTCCCTTTAAACAAACGACATGGTATGTTCAAATGTTACTTTTATTTTTTACAGTACATATGGGATTTCAGTAATTAATTCTTTTAACATTAATTAGCATTTGTCTACAAATATATATTACTACTGTTCTACATTTTGGGTTAGTAAGATTTATTTAGCAAGTATGCATTAAATTGATCAAAAATTACATTAAAGACTTTTACATTGTTACAGAAGATTTCTGTTTCAAATAAAAGCTGTTCTTTTGAACTTTTTATTTATCAAGGAATACTGGAAAAAATTTATCATGGTTTCCACAAAAATCTTACTGACCCCATACTATATATATATATATATATATATATATATATATATAAAAGCTGTTTTTTTATTTATCAAGGAATACTGGAAAAAATTTATCATGGTTTCCACAAAAATCTTACTGATCTTACTGACCGCGGCAAAATGAAAAGCAGGTATCCCAGCCAATGCTCCTCGAACTCAATGCCAGCAACTGCAACATGACCACATTTACCCGGTCTATTATCGGTAGATCCTCCTAGCGGGCTACCAATCTGCTGCTCGCGCCCTGTGTACACTACGGAGCGCACACAAACACACATGACTCGTGCGTCATTCGCCTGTGGGTGGGAGGAGGCGCCCGATTGAGCGAAACGTGTGATTGAAAGCTGCGGCGACCAATCACGATGGATCTTTTCGGTACTACGTGAATGTGACTGACCAATGGTTTCACTCGGCGTTTCACTGTACTTCCAAGGTGACGTCTGATGATTGATAGGGTTTTGCCCAATGACATTCTGTAAAGCAAGTTGCGTCATAGGGTGTCGAGCGTTCATTGGCTGTAGCGTTTGACTGAAGATTCATCCGTCCTATCACAGACGTTTTAGCTCAGTGTTGTTTGTTCCTTTTGGGATGCATATCACTTGCAAGTTTTCTATGTACAGTCAGGAGCCGATTGCTCCCAATTAGCTTTGTTACATGTTTGCCAAACATCAGTGAATACATCCTTTTATCGCATTAATCCGATTATTATTATTGTAGTTTGCCGGTGATTGGTATTTTAACAGAAGTAGTCCGGGGATTTGTAAAGTACTAACTTGCTAGCCACTCGTGTTACAGTACCTACAGTCTGAACTGCTGGCAATCGAGTTGGTGTTTTGTAAGCGTGTGGTGAGAAAATGTCCTTGTAAATTTATATTGCTTATATATAAATTTAAAAATAAAGGACAATGAATGAGGACAATAAACTGCTTTTATTGTCCTCATTTGTAAGTCGCTTTGGATAAAAGCGTCTGCTAAATGACTAAATGTAAATATATTGTGAGTTTGGGCTCACAATATATAGCATCTTGCATATCAAAAATCAAAACTCTGAAAAACAGAAGCAGAGAAATTAATAGCATCCATAACTGAATATGAATGCCTAATCATCAAGATGTTTTAGTGTAAATGACGTTAAATTCATGATCTAACTTTCAACTAGCGTTTATAATTTGCTATCAAATCATGTCCAGTTACAATTATAAATAAATAAATAATTATTAGAAAAGGCATGCAGCTTGTGTCTCTGGGCTTTTTACAAGAAAAAAAAACACGTGCATATGATATGCATTGTAGATAATACAAGCTACTCTCTGATAAACATTTCACACTGACTCTGACCTGCTAAGTCATTATTGTGAAATAATTACTGTGTTCACTCATTTGCAACTAAGGTCAATAAATTGAAATGTGTTTTGGTGAAATTGATGAGAGGATACATTTTTAATGTTTGTTTAATTGATGGAAAGTTGGCATATCTGTAGCTGAGAGTTCAAGGTAGTTCAGAGTCTGAATATTATTAGAGTTTAACTTTCATAAGGTAAAGGTTTCATTCGTTTTTTTCCCCCCAGTGTGTACTTTGTGTCACTGATTTCCTCTACAGAGACACTGATGCCTTTAATGCTCCCTGACAGCATGACTGTTCTGTAATATCAAAATGTATTATTGAAAATCTGAATTACATCGAAAACAACAGCCAACCAAAGTTAACCCTTTTCAAAAGATTGACCACCTTTGAACACCTAGAGACAAGGCAGTTACACTGAGAAGGAAAAGAAATAGCTCATAATTATTCAAAATCACTGTATATAATTTGTATGTATTGGTGGGTGATCTTGCTGAGAGTTGATGAACAGGTTTTGAGAGAAGGTAATCTGGTTAGGGGTGACCTGGTGGCTCTGCAGTTTTATAGTCAGTACTAGATAATCCACATAGGGCGTGATAATGTAGGTCGCCATCTGCTGCGTTTACTGACACAATAACAAGAGGGCACTGTTATACAGTATTTCAGTGCTTCAGAATTTCTATTGCATCTCAGAGAGAATGCCTTTAACTATGACGTCACAGTCATTTCAAGACTCATAACATACACACATGAGCACTTTCACTATTAAAATTGAGCTTTTCCCTTTAAACAAACGACATGGTATGTTCAAATGTTACTTTTATTTTTTACAGTACATATGGGATTTCAGTAATTAATTCTTTTAACATGAATTAGCATTTGTCTACAAATATATATTACTACTGTTCTACATTTTGGGTTAGTAAGATTTATTTAGCAAGTATGCATTAAATTGATCAAAAATTACATTAAAGACTTTTACATTGTTACAGAAGATTTCTGTTTCAAATAAAAGCTGTTCTTTTGAACTTTTTATTTATCAAGGAATACTGGAAAAAATTTATCATGGTTTCCACAAAAATCTTACTGACCCCATACTATATATATATATATATATATATATATATATATATAAACACATCATAGTTTACTGTCTTTACTAAAACTAATTCTGGTTCTACAACCACATAATACGTTCACACATTGCAAATATGCATTTTAATGCATATTTTGATATTCTTTGTCACCTGGGTTTTCATGGTAATCTTATTATGGATTATACTAATTGGTCATGTATGAGGAAAACAGTTTTTACTCAAAAAGAAAATAAAATCAACTAAAATCCCATGGTAAACCTGAACTCTAAATCTAAATTTATAAATCATCATATGCACCATATTAACACTGCATATTAATTCTGGTTGCACAAAAGTGTGGGTTTCTAGTTTATCGCAATACTATATTTACTATTTTCTTTAGTCACAGACAAGATTACTAAAAGGGATAATCTGCAAGTGAATGATATGTGTATGTGTTGAGTCTTTGAGCTGGACCTGATGCCCCTCGTGCTGAGTAATGGATTCCCAAAGGGTAAATTTAGCTCTTTGTGAGACTTTGGTATTTCATAAAGGTGCTTCCTGTGGAGAATAGAGATATGTGGCTTCTCAGACAGCTGTAAATGTTTATGATGAGCATGATGAGTGAGCTGGACCAACAAGGCTCCAAATGAGAAGCTTATGAGAAACTGAACTGCCATGTAGTTTCAGTATGGTTTGATAAATTGATAGCTTCTTCATTGTGAATCTTCTACTAAAAAGTCTGAATTTCTACAACAAAGAGATGTTCGTGTGCAGTAAACTGTGCACACAAGCTTGCCCATTCAGGTGCTTTTAAACGAAAAACAGGCTGAGAACAAGCAAGAACAAAGTTTTGGTACTCTTTTAGCTTGTTCTCTGTTTCTCCACATTCCATTTAATTCTGTGTGCAGGTGTGGGATCAAAAAGGCAAAGATTAAAGGTCATCAGTGATGGTGGATCATGACATTGCCCTCATCGGATAGGATGAGCTGAGCCACCTGACGCACAGTGGAGATCTTCCTCACTGCCTTCTTAAGCATCACCTTAAAATCTTTTGATTTGTGTCTGTAAGACAGAAAAACAAAGAAGGAACATCAGCCTTAGTTTGTCTAATACATCAACATATGACATCACATGTTTTACACTTGTCTGTCAAATACTTTTTTCCAAAAAACTACAGAAAGTATAAAGTATTTTTAGGAATACATTAATACCAACTTCATTCAACTGTTATATATAATTTGTTTTGGATTAAAAAAAATACATTTACATTATGTCACTTGGAAAA